TATATATATATGACATTGGTATATCCTAAAAACTCAATATATTCCACAGATGACTTTGGCAAAGATTTTTGTTTTTGTGAAAATAAATGTAAGAAACAAAGTTAGGTGGGGAAGGGCAAAAGGATAAAAGGCAAATGGATGTAACAAGTTTGCAGCAAACCTTAGGTTGAACCAACAAAAAAAACTACTCAGTCTCTGACATTGAGGGATTGAAGCATCCCCAGTCTCATCACCTCGTGACCTCCCAGTGCTCTCTCCATCTCTCACCCCGACGCTTTGTTTTGGCATGGTGTTAACAGATAGCTGATAAGTCGGCAGTTTAATCTCCTCTACCTGGTTGATATCGCAGAAGCACGGCAGCGTGTTCAAAATAGAAGAAAAGACTGGAGAGATGCAGCAGATAACAGTTCTCAAAACATGTCTTTATCACCAGGCCAATCAAATAAGCTGTTTTCTCTGTGTTCCAGCCATCGACCTGCTGTACGGGGGAATCTACTGCTTCATGTGCCAAGACTACATATATGACAAAGACATGGAACAGATTGCCAAAGAAGAACAGAGAAAAGCCTGGAAAATACAAGGTGTGAGAACGACCGACCCACAAGGTTGTGTTCTGACTAGTGTTCACTTCGCCATCTAATTTGGATTAAGTCGAAGTCTAAAGCTGGGGCTTTGGACTATTGAATTTTTTTTTTCTCATTTTATTCCCTTTTCCCTTTTAACTGCATGTTTCAATCAATTAATTTAGGCATCTCTGCATCCATAAATATTCAGATTGTGGACATTTTCCGTGAACATTGTTTTGCCAGGGTCACCATCCTGATCCCTGCAGTATTTTCTTCAGGTATAGGGGAGAAATTCTCAACGTGGGAGCCCACCAAGAAAGAGCTGGAGCTGCTTCGCCACAACCCCAAAAGAAGGAGAATCACCTCCAACTGTACCATTGGTGAGTGTCTGTGTCTTTCCAGCTGTCTTCTTCTCATCTCTTCAGATACTCAACTGCTGCTAGTTCAGCTTTAGATTGCCAGTTGTCAGTTCACAGGCCAGTGTCGAGGAGAGGGTAGGAAGCAGACGAGAGGTCAGGAAGTAACAATCAAACCATCCAGCGACCGAAAAGGCAATTTCCAGATTCAACCGTATCATTTGACAGCATCAGTCAGGACGCTTGAATTGTGAAGAGCTCTGCCTTCCCTCTCAGCCTGCATACAAAGAAGTGTATCCTCTAACAAGGAGAGCAGAGTTCAACTTTTATTGTGTGCACAAAACACCAATTTAAATATATTAGATAGATAGATGTAGTCTATTGATCCCAGGCTGGGAAATTTCATTTTATCTTTTGAATTCTTTTGACGTTTTAATATTGAAGTCTGGGCTCTGAAGTCATTGATTACCATTAATCCAATCAAATTTGTTTTAATCCCATTAGATTTTGCCTAATCTTGAATGTCAATTAAAGCCAAATGAATCACACGTCTTTATTGTGTTCTAAATGCACCTCCAAAAGGTTATTTTAACGCTTGAAGTCTGGATTTCTGGACTTGGCCTCTTGTTAAGAAGTTGGCAAATATGTCCTCAAACATTTGATGTCTTTTATTCCTGGTGCTTTTTGAGTCAGTTTTAATTTTTTACCAAAAACCTCTTTATAGGAAAATAGACTACAAAGTCACTAGGATGATGGGCTGGTCTGATCTCTTGGCTTCAAAACAAACCAATCAGCTTTGTCTGTTTTTAAATATAAACAAATTAAAACAATGACTTGTGAGCAATTAAATCTAAAAATCAATTCCACTTATATTGAGGTTGCACACGACAAACGGGCAAACCTTGAGTTGTGACGTCGACTACATTATCAATCGGAGCCTGAGCGTCTTCGTCTCTGTTCTCTGTTGCTGTTGTTTGTGATCTCCTCTGTTTTGTTTGTTTTGTTTGTTTTATTCTCATGACATCACCTAATGTCTTTAGTAAAAAGACCAACAGCCAGCACCCATGAGCGGGGGGCAGCACTTCTTTGTAGCTATGTCGCTCCTGATATTAAATATAAATATTTAGCTAAAGGTCTTTGCTGACAGTAGCTTCAATGCAGGTAATTTTTTAGGTACACCTACACAATAAAATGCTATTTACAGCGGCAGCTTGTTCGACTTTTGTATTATTGTTGTGGAAAATGTTGTGATTTATGTTCACGCTGCTCCAAGGTGATAGATGAGCTGCTGTTAATGAGAGGTTTTATCTTCTGTGTCCAGAGAGGAAAAAAGCAGCAGGACATGTTTGTAGCAAAAATAAAAATGAAAGATTGTGTGGGAGGGAGGAGACCTGACATATGTTTAACACCTCGCAGCCTCCTGCAGAGGTCCACAGAAGGAACATTAACTGTCTAATGTGGAGGGGAATTACAGGTGTGACTGCTGAGATGCCTCCTTGTTTCCTTCTCTTCCTCTCTTTTCACCTAGATTCATCTGGCTTTTCTCTCCTCTCAAGTGTGGTTCTAATCTCACAGAAGTGTCCCAGCATTCAGTTCACTGATGCCTCAGGGACAGAGTGATATCAATGTGTGTGTATGTATGTGTGTGTGCTTTATATCATTGACAGCACTGCAGCTGTGTTGCTCCACTGCAGCAGCCAAGAAAAAAATGATCCGGCTGTTTTCAGCTCAGTCTCTTCTTTTTTCCCTTCCCCTTTTATCCTTTGTTGTTACTTCTCTCTGTGTCTTAGATGCAGATCTTGCTATTAAAGGGTAAACTAAATTTTTAAAAAGAATATTGGGCTTTAAAAGCAACAATAATTTTTCTTTATCCTTGTCGTGACTCTCAGGTTTGAGAGGTTTGATAAACTTGGGCAACACGTGCTTCATGAACTGCATCGTCCAGGCGCTGACACACACTCCACTGCTGCGGGACTTCTTCCTGTCTGACCGGCACAAATGTGAGATGCAGAGCAACTCGTGTTTGGTGTGTGAGATGTCTCAGCTCTTTCAAGAGGTACCTGTCCTTCAATGTAATAATATGAGGTCAATGATGGAGAGGGCGGGACACCTCACAATCACCACAAACACATATTTTATGCTGCAGTTCTACTCAGGCCACCGCTCGCCTCACATCCCCTTCCGTCTCCTCCACCTGGTGTGGACTCACGCCCGTCACCTGGCTGGTTACGAGCAGCAAGATGCCCACGAGTTCCTCATTGCGGCGCTGGACGTCCTGCACAGACACTGCAAAGGTCAAAAACACATTTGTGCAGAGACTCAGACTAGTGAACGGTGCAATAAGTTAAAGTCCAGGACACAGAAGTCTGTCTTAATGAGACATGGTGATAAAAGCACGAAAGAACAGGAAATGCCAGGGGAAAAATGCGTGGGAGAGGAAGAACAAAGAGGGGACACTGAGGGGAGACAGATTTTTACCCAGTGTGTTTTTCTGTGTGTACAGATGATAACGGGAAGAAAGCCAACAATCCCAACCACTGTAACTGCATCATCGACCAAATCTTCACAGGTGGCCTGCAGTCTGACGTCACCTGTCAAGTCTGCCAGTGAGTGTCTTCTCTCACACACACACACACACACACGTACAGTGATTGTGTGTTACAGTATTCCAGCAGTTGATCTCTGGCTGTGACGTGCCCTCGTCTGTTTCCCGTCATTCACACAATGCACCATTAACCACCAACACACACAGACACTCAACAGTGATCTGCCTCACTGCAGCAACAGGGGGAAAAAAAACTAATCGAGCGCTGTACAAAAGTTTGTCTCTACCACCATCTGGTGGCCAGTGAAAATAATGCAGGAAGTTATATGCGGTGAGGAATCTGCATCTATTTATACTCGGTGTTCTGATTATTCCTGAAGCAGAAATAAACACCTTTTAACCTGTCAGGATCATGAACTGCTAACACCGTATAACGATGTAGTGAAAGTGGCGTCATGTCTCTCCATTACAGGCTTCAGTAACAGTAAGATGATTATTACTAAACACCGTATAACGATGTAGTGAAAGTGTACATGTAGTGAAAAGTAGTGAAACTCATTTCTGTGCTCAAAAGAGGATTTGTCTTCACAGCTCTGCTCACCTAAGGCTACAGTTTACATTTTAAACTTTAAATTTTAATTATTTGAAACAGTTAGAAAATTATGTTTTCAATTAATCAACAAAAGAAGTGGTCAAAGCATCTAGATCAGGGCTGCCCATTCACTAGATCACAAATGGAGTGCTGGTAGATACTAAGCAGTTAAAGTAAAAATGGAAAAATAAATATAATTCTGTAGTGTGTGTAGTAGTGATGAAATACAATAATGTAAGAATATAATCATATTGGGAAAATGTTGATGATATTTCATTAATATTACCTGACAATAATGTAACTATTTTGTTCCCTTTCATTGTGTCCTCAGTGAACTGTCAGTTCTTCATACAGAACATGAGAGTTATCCATGATGATTCCAGCCGTCATGTGTTGTTTCTGTGATAAGGCCTGTGATTATGTCTTATTCTCTGTAGCCTGAAACACATGATAAGCAGAACAAATCTCAGCAGTCCACATTTTCTCCTGTGTCATTTGCTGCCAGTGTTCAATGTGTAGCTCTGAATATTGTCCAACTGTAATCTCTACTGAAAACAAAAACAATGGCACAAGCATGGCTGCCAACAGTGAATAAACCCCTGAGCCAGGTGCTGCAGTGAAGCCAGAATGATTTCAGTCTGTTTGTTGGTGACAACAAAGCTGCTGCTTCAACACACACTGCTGTTGAAACAGCAAGCTCATGGTCCGTTTGATCCTGTCTTTGTAGTGGCGTTTCAACAACCATAGACCCGTTCTGGGATATCAGCCTGGACCTGCCTGGTTCCTCCACACCTTTCTGGCCTCTCAGTCCTGGAGGAGACGGATCAGCACTGAACGGAGAGAGTCACGCCACTGGAGCCACAACACTCACAGACTGCCTGCGCAGGTATCAGAGGAACAGACCTTCGTGTAGTCAGTTTTAGCTCTTAGCATGGAGCAGACTTACTAAGACTTCAACGGTATATATATATATATATATATACATATATATATGAAACCCTTCTGCATAGCATAATTATTAAAACCCTATCCAATAGGTCATATCAGTTTGTAAAAAACAGTATCAGAACAGTCTTATTCAAAAAGGAAATAATGGTTTCTTGAAGCCTGTTATAATATAAACTGTGGGTTTGTCCCGACTCTGATTCTCACATTTATATCTAATATTTCAGAAGTTTTTCTTTGATTCGCCCCAAGTCCCTTGTTAGAGACAAACTCTGAAACCTCAGAGCAGTGAGCGTCACTTGTATAGCTATAGTTCCCTGAAGATAATTCCTCCTCAATTCACTGAAGCAGACAGACCGGTTGGCTGCAGTAGCAGTAGTAGCAGCATCAATTTAACTTAATACCCCCCCCCCCACACACACACACACACACTCTAAATCTCCTCTCCAGGTTCACCAGACCAGAACATCTCGGCAGCAGTGCTAAGATCAAGTGCAGCGGCTGCCACAGTTACCAGGAGTCCACCAAGCAGCTGACCATGAAGAAGCTGCCCATCGTGGCCTGCTTTCACCTCAAGGTGAGTGTGTGTGACACCAGGGGTGTGTATCCACTTGTTAGCCCCTCTACTCCTGAACATCTTCGTTCATCTGTGTGTGTCTTCTCAGAGATTTGAACATTCGGCCAAACTACGGCGAAAGATCACAACTTACGTCTCCTTCCCCTTGGAACTGGACATGACTCCCTTCATGGCCTCCAGGTGAGGGATATTGCAGGAAAAAACAAGATAAGGGAGTTAGCTGGCATATGATGCTTATCCTGGCTGAATTTATTGCAGGACAAAGCTATTATTTTATTTATCCTCACTTTGCATTGATGGCCTTTAAACAGAAAGTATATTTGATATTTGCAATGTTTCCCATACACTGACCTTTTTCCCTGCTGTGTTTGTGTTGTTGCTGTGACTCAGTAAAGAGAGCAGGATGAACGGACAGTACCAGCAGACTGTGGACCCCTTCAACAACGACAACAAGTAAGAAAAACAACCAATCAAATGTGTCAGTTTCTGAGTTCACATGGGCATCAGAACATCCTCATCGACTGTGTGTCATCAAATGATCTCTCAAAAGTGCTTCAAATATCATTTGTTGGTCTAAAGAACTGTGAAATGACTAAAAAGAAATAGTGTAAAAGTTATTTAGGTATTGTAATATTACAACATCTTTCAAATGTCAGCCCCTCTCTGTGCCTGTTTGCATCAGGTACAGTCTTTTTGCTGTAGTGAACCACCAGGGGACACTGGAGAGCGGCCACTACACCACCTTCATCAGGCAGCACAAGGACCAGTGGTTCAAATGTGACGACGCCATCATCACCAAGGCCAGCATCAAGGATGTGCTGGACAGTGAAGGGTGATTATCAATAACAATAACAATGACAGCAAAGATATAAGGCACCTGTATTCATTATATTATAGTCAGTGTGCATCTGAACCAAAACTTGGTGGTTGGAAAAGTAAAGCCTTTAAATCAACAGGAGGTTAGCAAAAAAGATAATCTCACTATGACAATAGAAGCAATTGTTAGGGTTTTTTAAGAATTCATTGCCTTATACAGGTGATTACTAAAATGTGGGCCGCGGCCCTAATGAGAGCCCAGACGCTGCCCTGGTTGGACCAATAAAACATTGAGGTCAACTCATATTTTTAATTTTTGTGTCCTGTTCGTCTGGATAATATAGTAAATAAACAGCATCTCTCTTCTTCTGTGTCACTAATCAGCCAATCAAATCTTTGTAATTTAGCATGAAGACTTGACTGTCAATGAGGGACATATATTATAAAAGTTTATAATAACCGGTTGTCTGTGGTTGACTCTGTGGTACTTTTTAATTTTCTCAGGTACCTCTTGTTTTACCACAAACAATTCCTGGAGTACGAGTAGCCTCCTCCAACCCCGCAGTACAGCCCACTGACAGAGGAGACGACACCAGGAGGAAGGAGTTGCATGGAAACAGGTGACACGTTGTTTGATCAAAGATACAAGTGACACAAACCAACACAAGCCTACCTGAACCAGTCACACTCGCGAGGTTCGCTATGTCACAGAACCACCTTTTACCACAAACTATGAACAAGGTCTGAGTCGAGTTGGACGCCAAACTGTTTCTGAATCGTGCAAAAAAGAAAAAAAAAAAAACGCAAGAAACCCCGGAAGCGACATTTCTCGGGCGCTAAAAGAACAATGTGTTCTTGCACAAAAGCGTTTGCGCAAAAAGTTTGTGAAAAAAGAAACCTGCAGTAGAAGAAGAGAGTTGATCCAGGGCAGGTTTTCATGATCACAGATGCTGTTCGTCACCAGTGTCCTGCTTCACGCTCACACAGCTGCATATTTTCAGACCTACAGGTGCTAAGAACCAGAGCCTGAGAGCTCACCACAAAAGTAAGTTTTCATTTTCTCGTCCTTTTCTGCTCTTGTGCACTCCTTTAAATGACCAAAAAGTCCAGAAATTTGATGTGAAATTTTGTGTTGTGTCACACACAAAAAAAAAAACAGTGAATGAATGGTGTGATGAGTATCGTAAAGATGGACCATTTACAGATGTTAATGTGATTTCGTTGTTGTCAGACACCTGTAGGTAACCTGTAGTCTTCACTGAGGATCTGTTTCCATTAGGTAGCGTGTCAAAGGGATGACGGATATATTTTTATACTTCTTTATATTTCTTTATCCTCCCTCGTCAGTGTGGTTGTGTGAGGCACTGACACATTCAAAGTGAAAACTCCTCTGTCTCAGGCCACACAGTCATTCTCAATGGAAATATGGCAGCCAGTGTGGGGCACAATTAATTTAACAAATAATTTAACAATATGTCAACAACACGTCTCAATGCCTTTTTTTTTTTTTTAAATTAATTCTGAATGCTACCTGCTCACTGCCCACACAGAAGTCCATACAGTAAACAGTAATTTATAATATTTCACCCAGTCAAATCAAAACAGTTTTTTGTGTTTCCGTACCTCATACAACCACAAATAAAATAATTAATTAATTAAAAAATAAAAATTAATGTATTAAATACTACATTAAGTTTTTGATTATTATTCTCGAGCGCAAAAAAAAGCGATGGTAATATTCACAGAACTGCTGCCTGTTTTAATTTGATGGAGGATAATCTTTTTTTCAACATGTTACAGATTCATAATCTTCACCTCATCACCATGCTGTTTCAGTTAGAAAAAAAAGAAAAGATGAAGAAGATGTTAAAAGTGAAAAGACAGAAAGTGGATTGTTGCAGTGTTCACAGTTTGGCTGCATGTCTCTCTCTCTCTTTCTCTCTCCCTCTCTCCCACTCACTCTTTCTCTCTGTGTTTGTATGTATATGTGTGAATGTGTGTGTGCACGTGTACGTGCCCCTAAAGGGGAGGAAAAACACCTCAGTGTATGTGTGTTTGTACAAACTGTTATAATGTATGTGGAGAAGAGTAAAAAAAAAAAAACAAAAAAAACAACAACAACACAGTGTGTACGTGTGTGTATAAGTTGTATGCACGTGTGTTGCGCGTGCGTATGTAAGCGTTCCGTTTGTGTACTGAATCAGTACAGCATGCCGTCAGAGCTGGGTATTACAGTTTGATAGGATTTTTATTTCCACTTGATGATCATGTATGTAAAAGTATATAAATATATATATATATATGTACAGTTTGTATGTAAGAGGGGAAAAAAGTTGGTGAAACCCTAAAGTTGAACTTTTTGTGCTTCTACGTTACTTGATCCAGCCACAAGGGGGCAGTAATCGTAAAGGACGTAATTTCTGACACAATCGACTAAAAGTGCTGCATTTAAAAAAAGAGAACTGGACACAGTGATGGAAAGACATACTTAAATAAAGAAACTTCTATATCTGTAAAGGTTTCTGTTGTTTTATTTCAAAGGTTTGTGAACCACACCATCGTGGGTGTGATAGGGGTACACACTAGATAGGTGCTATAAAATTGTAATAAAAAAGATACGTCTCTAAAATGGTACCTCAGACATTTCTAAAAGTTAGCAAAAAGTATAACAAATTAGCTACTATCAATAAAGGTTTTCCAGGAACTGACAAACGGTAAATAAATGGATTAAAATAGTAACCAGTTTGATCAATGTGGTTGTGCCCCGGTGTTACAATGACAATAAAGACTATTACTATAAGACTATTCTATTGTTCTAAAGAAAGGGTTAAAGAAACAAAAGCTTGAGCTATGTCTGGGCTAACAGCTAGCCCAGACATAGCTTTACATTTGTGAGAGTAAAAAGTAAGTCCCAGTGAGTGGGATCTTTGAAGGCTTTTGAATTCCAATACATTTTTGTGTGTATATTTTGTAATATTTGAATGAATATGTATAAACTAATCATTGGTCCGAATGGTAGCCAAGATAATTTAGCTTAGGAGTCGCCGAAAGTTGGCTACAAAAACAAAAGCAAAGACAAAGATGTTAGCTAGAAATATATAAAAAGTGAAATTAGCTAAACATTAGCCATAAGTTATCCAAAGCTAGATGAAGGTGCAAATGAAAAACTTTTGTAGGCCACGTTTGTAGCAGCAAAGCTATTGACTGTGTTTGAAGTTATTCTGATAACTACAGTGGTCCGCAGTAACGAAGAGCCTGTCTGAACAAAGCCTTTTTTATGCTTTCCATTCTTTGTGAAAGACACTGATGTTTTTAAGAGAACAAATAGAGTTCATCTCGGTTCCATCTCCTCCTCCCAGGTCTTGGTTTTCAGAGGTGTGAAGGCTTTCATTTCTCCACAGAGGCTTGTTCTTCTCGTACAGAGATGATTGAGTTCTCGGTGGTCTGTCGTGGCCTTGACCTAGTGCTTTCAGGTCAGGGAAGCAGTGGACACACACACATGTCTCTGTGGGGCTGGATTCACTCAGTGGCTCACTGTCGGCATAAAGGTCTGACGCTGCAGCAGTATCTGCTGTCAGAGAGGGCGGGGAGCACTGTTAGCAAATTCAAGTGGAAAAGCTCTTTTTTTTAAATGTCTTATGATTAAGCAGAAGTAAAAGACAGAGTCAGACAAAATAGATTTTAAAAAAAGCCAGAAGTTAACCTAAAAAATAGGAAGTTCAAATTAAATAGAGACAGATTTTGACGGTACAAAAGCAGGAATACCTTTAAATCAGCCCAAACAGTGGAAGAAAAAGTGAAGCCTCAATTAAGAAAAAAAAAGACAGTTTTACCTCTAGATGTTTGGATCGCTTTACCGGGTGACCTTCCGACCTCTTCACCGTGTTGTTTGTGACGCCTGTGGTTCTGTTTCACCGTCTTTACTGCTAGATGTGAAGCCTTGGTTCTGTATCTTCTCAGGATAACAGTCAGGGCTATTGACAGGCTGGAGAAGAGGAGCAGCAGACTCAGAGCCAGCAGAGAGTAGAGCAGGAGAGTGGGGCTTTCAGCCAGCACAGGTGTGGAGAGGTCTGAGGAGGTGGGCAGGTGTGAGGTCACTCTAAGTGGTTTTGAGGTCAGAAGAGGTGATGTGGCTGGACCTGGAGCTGGAGATAGGAAGAAAACAGATTTAGTTTCCCCTGGGTAAAACAGAGCGGCCTTAGAGTTGGACTTTCTTGTGTAGTAGTATTCATGTTCATGTGTAGTGTTACAGGCTGTACTCACTGACACAGTGGTCGGAACATTGTGCAGGGTGTCTGCCACAAACCTCAGCACATTTCACGCACTTCTTCAACAGACCATCGTAGTAGTGACCGGGTCGCTGACGGCACTGAGCCGACTCTGAACACAGAGGGGGAGAGAGGGAGGGGGGAGAGAGAGAGGGAGGGGGGAGAGAGGGAGTATCTGTAAGTCACTTTTGATAAAAGAGTCTATGTAATGCTTACATGTAAATGTATTTCAGCCTCAGATTCAAACAGACTCTGTGATTGAACCCTGGTGTCAGTGAACTCACCACAGAAACTGCTGCATTTGTTGACCACAGGTTTTTGCTGACAAATCAGGTTACAGTGGGCACACTTTCTGAGCAGTGAGTCTTTGAACTGACCCTCAGGACATCGGCCACCCATCACATCTGATAACCCTCACGCTGCACACACACACACACACACACACATGGATTAAATGTGGTAGAAACAGCAGTGGTGTGTGATGTATTTACACCAGTTGTACATATTCTACAAAGACATGACCAACATTTAGACCGGCTGACTGCTATGGTTTTCTAATATTAAAAGATGTGTCTGCCACTTTTGTCAACTTTTTCTTAGCCCTATTTCTCAAGTAGCCCTTTCCTATAAGCCGACCTCTAACCTCTTCCTCGGATACCTTTTAGCTTTTCATCATTTTCTCCCCTACTTGCAGTTGTGTTCAGCTACATTTTGCTAATTGCTGCCAGATTTTGTAATCTGTAACCCTACATCACTTTAAATTGTTTATCATGTTCAACTCTTTTGTAGTAAATGACAGCTTTATGTGAAAAAGACAAAGAAGAGAAGAAATCATCACAGCTGAAGATCAGAGCTTAGGAAAGTGTCAGCTCAGAGAGGACACGTGTGTCGTTGGCCTGCCTCAGAGAGCAGCCCAGGGTTCGTCCGTGCAGAACTATTTCACGTCCGTTCAAAAATCATGTCTCTGGTCTCAGAGACTTCCGTCCTCGCTCCAGTGACCACTGAGTCAGTGGAGTGTGACTGACACACACGCATCGGAACCCGCTCCACCCTTTAGTTCACACACACACACACACACAGTTTTTGTCACACTCAGTTAAACAGAATTCTGTGTCTTAATCTGTCAGATCAACTGAGGTCATTGGCTTATTATTACCAAGCATGACACATGTTAGGACCAACAGTTCTTCTCCTTATTAGTCAATAATATCACACAGTCTCACGTAGGCACAGCTCAAAACCAACTCCTTCTCATTACTTTACATTTATTTGGTTTTCTCTCTATAAAAAAAATATATTTTTAAGTCATTTCCTTACAACACGTTATTTAGAATGTGCATAAAAATATAAATCTGCCACCAAATACGTCTCAGGTCAGTTTAAAGTATTTCATTAGCCAAAAAAAAGCTTAATTCATCCATTTCCGTGCCAAATTTCACTCATCTCCCGACACATTGTTTTAACTATTTGTATAGTTAAAACTTAGTTATTTCCTGCCCAACGTTTCTTTACATTTGACTGGTAGTTTGTAATTCATTACTTTAATAGATAATCTCCAGCATCACATCCTTCACTCTGGCTGTTCCTGCCTTGGTCAGATAAACAGTGATAAAATGCAGCGTCAGCTTTGCTGATGTTGATTATTGCTGATTATTAAAAATAGTTTAAAATATATATATATATTAGTTTCTGATGTGGTCACTCACCTTCTCTGTTGGTGAGGAAATCCATCTTTTAACGCTTAGACTGAGACATGACTGTATTTTACTTTCACACAGGAGCTTATATGGCTGAAGGCCTAGGACTTCCCCTTTAGGTTGAAGGAGGAAGACCCCAAACTCACACCGCCCACCGTGACTAAAAAGATCTGATTTTTATCTTTTGGATATCATTTAATTCCTGAACGTTTTGTGTAACATACATGTTCCTCAGGTAAAAGTTTGATATTTTCATCTTCATCTTCTCTATTTTCATCTATTCATCTTTTGCCTGTTTTTCTATATACTGTATATAGAAACCACCTCTTGTCGCCACAGTTCATGGTGATTGTACAGAACATTTCTGTAGGTTAAGTCTTCATATCTTTTTCTGTCTGACTGTAAATATTGAGGCCCAAAAATGTGTTCGTCTTCCACACTCTGGCCTAGAAAAGCAACTTTTTAGGTCAAAACAAATCATCCAAAGTCGTTTGATGTGATCATACATCATCATGTGGACAGACTGGAAATAGAAAAAAATCCAAAATAAAATTTACCTTAAATGTCAAGTAAAAGGTTACTGTGAACAGAAAACTTCACGTTTACTTTGTTCGTTCGAAACGCAGACATAAGTTGAAGATGTAAAATCTGTACTACTTTAATACTGACATGGTTAAAGAAGGTTCTTTAACCATGTCAGTATTAAAACAGAATCTTTTCCTGGGGATAACATTTATTTCAGTACAGCTAAATGTATTATGTACTGCATGATACTAACTAGTCATTTAAATGGTGTTTTCCCAAAAGTGGATTGATCAGAAGCTTCTTACTGTTTTTGTTTTTAAAAAGTACAGTAGTAAAAGTAGTTTATTTAAGCAGTTGTTATTAAAGACCCACCATAACCAGTAACCACAAAACAATAGTTTTACTCTGACATAAAGGACGGTTTTATAAATCCTGGGTTAACGTCTGACCCTGTAAAACTTTTGAATTGAAATGATTAAACCTCCACGAACACAGAATGTTTGTGATATCCATGAATAATAAAGTGGAGGTTCAAAAATGAATAATTTGCCAGAAAACTTTAGATTTTAAAATGTATTTGAGAAGAGCTCACAAAAAAACCTAAAGTTAAACCATCAGAGCCAACTTTATACTCACTGAAACAAACCTGCTAAAATAGTGAACTCTTCACCAACTGGTCACCAAGTTTAGCTCAGAAATATAACATTGACTTGTTTTTTAATTTAAGATGCATTGATCCAAGCTATTAAATACATAGACATGAATAGTTTAACTATGTTTCCATAATAATGAGGCTAATTATTTATGACACCTGGTTCTTTCCATCTGATAAAACCTAAATGAATAACCAGTGTGGACACAGTCATCACAGTGACTCAGTGACTGCAGGTGAAAAAGTCAGGTGTGACTAAAACACGCGTTCTTAACACATCACTGAACTCAAGATTTGATTTGTCAAGGTTTCACTTCAGCTTCTCACCTAAAAGGTCCGACCTGTTTGAGCGTTAAGAGTCAGCTTCACATAAATGACCACCAGAAATTAAAGCATTTTACTGCTCAGAACATGAAGAATCTCACCATGAGACATTTCCTTTTACTTTCACTTTTAAAGACGTTGGAATAAGTCAATAAAAGCAGTAAAATACATCTTTGAAATGACTTGTAAATGTAGTACATGTACAAAGTAGTGATGATGATGAGAAAAGTTCAGGTTTCAGTCACACAGTGCAGCTGGTGCAGCGGATGTCTGAGGGTACACAGACCACACACTCATTCACACCTTTAACAAGTCAAAACCAGCCAAGACTGTAGACGGGGTCTTGGTGTCCTGGGTATTTTTACAAAGACACAAAGAAGGTGTTTTCTCACAAAATTAAACACAAAGAAGGTGTTTTCTCACAAAATCCACATGTCCACATCCCAAAGTCCACATGTTAACAAAGTACGTCTGCAGACTTGGTTTGTTTTCGTTTATCTTTCGGAGTGACAACAAACAGGATTTTTTAAAATTCTTTTTGACACCATTTAATAAGAAAAAGAAAGTGAACTCCTTGTCAGTGTGTCACAGCTCATCACTGAACACAACCAGATGTGACCTCTGCTTTAACCCATCACCAAAGTGAACAGTGGGGGAGCAGAGAGTGGGGACGGTGACATGATCAGAGCACCTCAGTGGTGACTTGGCAGCTGGTGGACTTGAACCTGAAACCTTTAGGACCCAGGTCCACTTCTTTGACCACCAAGACACCACTGCCCTAATCCAGAAATAGCTGCAAAAAAAAAAAAAAAACATTGAAAATTATTTTAAAAATTATGAACAATTAATATTATTAAAATATATATATATATATTTTTAAATGAGCCTTTTTTCTATTTGCTGTGTATCAGACTAAACCTGCTCAGTCGTCACCTTTGTCTGATCCTCTTTGAACTAAAGCGAAGCTGGACTGCAGGCCGGTCAGTGAAACACATGCACTGTATGTGTAAAGGAACCAGGCTTTTTGGTTAATTATACAGAACGAGGCCTGTTTAAGGTCATGGACATTTAGCAGCTGTTTCCATCCATGACCAGGAACTCCAGTAATGTAAAACTAAAAGGGAACTGACAAGAAACCTTCCCATCTTGTCCTGATCTTTTTTTTTCTAAACTGGCAGACAATTGAAATGATCTGTGAAGGTGGTAGTAGTGAGCATTCTTTGCAAACGTGGTTCACACAGAAGCCCCAGCTTCAGAAACCACACTTAACCCAGAATAGAATCACTGCAGATGTATAGTCAAATATCTCCTCTGTAAAGCCCAAAAAGGAAGTAGCTTCAAACATGAGTCATGAGAAATAAATAAAAGAAAGACAGAAATATACGTTAATATATAGAGATTTGTGTATATACTTGTATGTATATATGTAAATAAATATTGTTTTGTCTTTCCCCTTATTGTTACTGTTTCATCAATACCAAAAAGAGCCTGTAGGGGGAGACAACCAACTAGGTAAAAAAAAACCCTGTTCTTTACACATATGGCATAAAAACGTTAATAATAAATATAGAGACGTCGTTGAACCGACCTCAGAACTGTTACAGAACTGTTTTCACCAATTTACTTTTCTTTTACAAACTAGAAATATTCTGTCAGGGAAACAAACACTGCCTCACTGGCGTAAAGTCACATTGTTTACATATATTTGTTTTCTCTCGGTGTGTTCACAAGATCATTTCCATCACAGGGTTAATTATATTAATAAATAAAGACAGAAAGTTCTTTCTTCTTGGTCTCCAGCAGCTTAAACCTTAACATGCACAAAGGGAAGCTACGATCAATAGAAAAAAGAAAGATTCTTCAAGTTTGTTCTAAAGCAGATTTTTGTCTGTCTGCCTCTGCTGTTGGTCCCACTGCAGTGTAAACACTGCTCCAGTGAACAATGACACCAATTAAACCAAGGAGGGTTTCCAGTTTTCCCACAGTACACTCATCAGGGCGGTCTGTGTACTGCAGACAAACAACCAATTAAAACACTTCTGTCTTCAAACAGATAAATGAAAGAATAACAAATGTCTTTCTGGTTACGGTAGTTTGGACTCGGACACTTGTTCCTGGAGACGTAGCTACAGAGATGTTGTTGCTTCTTTTTCAGCATCTCGTTTGTGGCAGCATTGATTTCATGTTTGCTCGTTGTACTTTGTGATCCAAATACTTGGATAATGCTAACAATGGGTTAGCCAACAGGATCATTAAACACTGGCCCACTAACTCGTAAAGTTAGTTACTCAAACAAAACCCAATTGCTAATAGTTAGCTACAAAAATAGAGAAAGGCTAGCCCGCAAATACAGTCAAATAACCATTAGCCTACAAGCAGCTAAAAGTAGGGAAAAGCTAGCTTATGTGGGAGGTTAGCCAACACTTTAAATAGCATCTGCCCACAACAACTGAAGGTGGACAATATGAATCATTTGATAAGTGTCAAAGCTGCTGACTTGACGTGTTGGACTAAATCAGACACGTCCAAATGGGAACCAGTGTCTCAGAACTTTCTGACATACTTTGTTCACTCCTTCAACAGTAAACATTTTAAATCTCATTTTTATCCCTTCATCTTCCTCCGCCACAGTGAGTAAACTCCCCGCCCAAACCCTGCCTCTCCCCCCTCACCCCGAGTTCCACCGTGGCCACTGAATCCATGATTTGTTTTCACGGTGATACTGAAATCTCAGCGGTGCAGGTTCTGTTTGGAGTCATTTGGAGGCAACTGAGGCGGCAGGCGGGGAAGTGGAGGTGATATGAGGGGATGCTGTTGCTCACTGGTGTGTGGAGGATATTAAATGGACTCTGGGCTGATGTCTCCACCAATACACTGAGCAAAGTCAACGTGCCTTTTACACAAGGCTTGTTGTTAAAAAGAATTTCAGCTATGACTTCATTTGAAATATAAATGAATTCATCAGAGGCCCTGGCATGGTTTAAATATTAAAATATGGAAATTACACTGAGGTTCTTAGACGTCGCCAAACGTTTCATAAAACATTCTTAAGAAATTCACTCAAAATATTTTCTTAAAGTTTTCTTTATTTCTAATAATCTGAAATTGTCAATTTTCCTCTTAGCTTGGCTTCTATATCACACAAAACTCTTCTGTTTCTTTCCATTTACATCAGGGATCTCAAAGGCCCGGCTCGCAGAGCCACTTTTGGCCCACAAATCCTCCCAAAAATGATTTCTAATTTTGCTCTTTTTTTATTATTTATTATCTATTTATAATATTGGACTCTTTTGCACTCCCCTAATATTTAGTATTTATAGTGTTAAAACAAAAATAACTTTAAGCTAAATGGAGCTAAAATGAAGCAGTTAAAGATCATACATATTCTGTAGTTTCAAAAAATAAGTTTTAAATTATTATTGCTTAAATTGCTATGAAAATATCTTGCTAAAGTTTGCTAATCAGTGCTAACACTCAAGGGGCGCTAGAGCTGATGATATTTACTGAGGACTCATGGGACTTTTTTTCAACAGACATTGAGCCTTTTTGTAAAAACAAAATTAAATCATAAAAAGTTTTCCCATACATTCTAAGATGTTATGCGAGATTCATTGTTTCAGATGCAGTAGCTCCATTGTTTTCAACCCAGTCATGTACCAAATGTGTAATGTGTAGTTTTTTTTTTTCCCAAACACACACACTTTGACCATGACAGCAGAAACTCAGCTGCAGTTTATTTGAACAGACAACAACAGCAGCCAATCAGTAAACACTATATATATATTACACACAACAGTAGGTCACAAATAAACGTCACACAAACATGGGCTGCAGATATAATAATAATAATAATAATAATAACACACAGCAGGTCTGTACTGTACAGTATTTCTGTCAATAACACGTCAACAACACCTGGGCCTTTGGTTGCTGGGCTTCTGTGATAAATGAACACTGTGTCACGTGGCACACACACGCACGCACACACACACGTGTCAACACATGATAATATATAATGTGTGTGTTTTGTTTTGTTTTGTTTTTTAGTATTCAAGGCACATAGATAAATGTAACCACACCAACAGCAGGACGTGCAGGTGTCTGCAGGGTGTAACCTGTCAAAGACAAAAACTACGTCTCTATTCCTGCAAATGAATAATGGATGCAGCCCATTCGTATGGGCTGTGATGACATGGCAAATCAGAATAATTACAGGACCTTCAGTTTAGTATTTAATTAACATGAACAAATAACAATATTAAATATTTATTTTGCATCCCAGATATACTGTACTTTCAGTGCCGTGGAGTAAACCTCCAGAGTGTAAGGTTTCAGAAATGAATATAAGCCAGCACGGTTGTTTAGTTTTATGTGGGCCACATCTCAGCCCCACGATATCGTAACGTGGACAACAATTACTCAGAATTCTGGACATCATCCAACGCTAGCTCTTGGTGCATTTTTGACTGAAATGTTGCCAAACCTCTGGAGCCTGGACGGAGACATTGGTCTGGCTGTGCAACTAAGTAAAAAGCTTCAGTGACCCACATCCAGGCCCACGATCTGACATCTGTATCAGACAGGTCATGTCTGTGGCCCACACTCTGACTAATGCTGCCTTTTGTTGCAGCGTTTTGGATCAGACAGATTTGTTTGGTTGGCAGCCCACTCTTTACAACTACAAGGCTTCAGTTTTGCTGATGATGTCATCATTTGTACATTATCAACTAACATGAAGTGTGAGTTGACCAATCGGTTGTGGATTCGCCCTAGGGCGGTGATACAGAACCATGCAAGACCAAGCAAAGCACAAACACAGTTTCTATTGAACGTTCCATCCTCTGGACTGCACGTTCTAGCCCTTCGCAAATGAACTACATCATCTTCAAAAAAAAAACAAAAAACTCAAAGCATAAGAACCACAGGAAATCAGCAGTTTGCTGTTGACCTGCTTCTACATCTGGTCTGTCCAACTGTAGAATCAGTCCAGTATCGTAACCATGTGGCACTGATCACAGAGATCTACACTGAGCCGTTTCATTCGCTCTTATTTCCCTCATGACCTGATTTCACACACAGCTGGGTCTTGGTTTGTGACGAATGAGAAAAGAAAAGAAAGCAGTTTCCCGGGGTTGGGGTCAGTTGATGCTCCTCCTCCTTCTTTGTGCTACATTTACACTGATTGGCACAAAGATGATCACATTGTCACCAGTACTCCAACACCAGGATGGTCCGTTAACTTCATTAGATGTTCTTAGATAGCCAGTGGCAGTGAGACAGTGACTGTTCATTCAGTGAATTCCAGTGAAATGATAACTGTGAAACCGTGTGGAATATTTATATAACAGGGGAAAAGAATGGTACAGGTGAAGGACTTCTGTTCCAGTGTCAGCCACATCACTTTACATGTGAGCTAATGGAATGGAATCCTGACACGTGTGGGCAGTAAGTACCAGGATCAGAAATGAGTGAGTGTGAAAATGTACTTTTAAACAAAGTTGAGTTTTGCAAAGTAGGTGTGAAAAATGTCCATATAGATTTCACAAATGCCTGAAGATGACACTTTTGAATTACAAAAAAAGCAAAAATATAGTGCATGGTGACTATATGTGTGCAACATTGCTCACATATAGTCAGAAATGGCCATAATGGATCTCAATAGTCGTAATAGTCACAGGTAGAGTCGAAGTTGACTAAAATATATTAATAATAGCTAAAAGTTTATGAAAAATATTTGATGTAAAACAATAATATAGCAAAATGATCACAGAAATAACTGCTACCTTAAATCAAACCCTGGTGTGGCTATTGGTTAGCCAGAATGTGCCCAAGGTCGATGAAAATTGTTTTAAAAAGCTATTTTCCTGCTCAGGTCTGCACTCTTCAGTACCTTTGGCCTCAGACTCATTTGCACAAACACTGACAGTTAGGTCGCTATGACTCCCCCGCTGCGGAGCTTAGTCACTGTCATCAGCTGCTGTGTTTATTCAGAGGTGAGGGTGCAAAGCGCTTACGTCTGTGTGACACATGGGGATCAACAAGGCTAAAGGCTGAAACTGTATCCACACAAACACCTCGGTCAGATCTCTGATCCTCGATCAGAGCTGAACTGTTCAGAGACTGGAAGGTGGGACTGACCCTGTGACAAACACCACTCCTGTCACTGACTCACACACACACACACACACACAATGTCACAATGGCAGATCCCACTCCCCAGGCTTTGTTCCTGCGTGTGTGTGTGTGTGTGTGAGAACAGTCCACGTCCACTTGCTAATGAACCCTGACTTCACCCACATAGGTGCAGTGAATCTGACACTGCAGCATATGGTGGACTCCAGAAACCAGGTCTAACTGGACAGTTGTAGAGGTCCCAGTTCACAAAGCCCTGGACTGGTGGAACTGTCGTTGTCTATTGGCTCTTAAATGATCAGTCCTCAGGGGCCACGCTTCATCTACGCCTTTTAAATGTAATTAAAAAGGTCATTTTACAAGTCTGGAGGACGATAAACGACAAGTTTTTATTTATTTTTTGTCCTTAGATTAACAACTGCATTCTAGAGATAAACAACCTACTGTTGTTGTTGATGGTGAGCTCCTGAAACAGGACGCTAACTATGAAGGATGTAGTCTATTTAACTTAGCTTAACCTACAAGCATTTAGCTAACCCCCAAAAAAACAAAAAAACAAGCCTATATATTTTAAAAAAAACACTCTTGTGACGTTAACAATGTATTCTTAAACTGTGATGTAAATTTATGTTGGTGAAAAAATCTACTTCAGTTGAGACATTTATTTGAAGATGGCGCTACTGAGCTACAGTGGTTTTGCAGTTGTTGTTCCCAGCCTTTGTCGTGCAATATGTTTTTTCTGGTTGTAGTTTCTGGTTTGTTTTACTACGTGTTTACTGCATTGTTTATGGTTTTGGACAATGCCTTTAAGCTAACACTGGACTGTCGCTGCCAAATTGTCTGAATAACTGTCTTTAATAAGGTGTTTGTAGATGTGGCAGACTGGGCATACTTTGAATTTTGTGTTTCATTGAGTTAAAATAAACCAAACTGAATATTTCATCTTCATGTAATTTCCCCCCAGAACACACACTGCTGTTTGGTGTCTGGAGATCAGATTTGAGCTTCAGAGAGAAACAGCCATTTTCATCAGTTACTACCAAAGACCTGCAGACTTCAAATGCTGAAAAATACCTGTGTCACTCCGTGAATCTTAATTCTCTTCTTTTCATCTGCAGTTTTTGGGTATATTTTCTGATTCCTTGGCACATTTGCTAACATATACTGACATAGCAGGTGACCTAGCCAGCACCTGGACATAGGACACACGGCTGTGCAGAGTGGACCTGAAAGTGGACTCCACCTGAGTGTGTTTGAAGGTTCATTGTCAGTAGTTAAGAGTTAAGGAAGTGATGTCACACTTTTTGACATGGCATATTACACTTTTAGCATCTGGCCCAGGTAATATGCATCTGAACCTGAAGTGGCCCACATTTACAACATGGCCCATGGTTTGGACCGCTTCTGTTTGTTTAGACCACGTCGGGTGATACGTTTTCTTTTGTGACCAGTTCGTGGTCAAGATTAGACATAACGGTGTTGTCACTGGTAAACTCCTGGGGAAAATGACTTTTAAATTTACAGAGAGTAAATTGAATATCTTACATGTAACACAAACGAGGATGCAGCCATGATGGGTCCATGGAGCTGTTCTTGGTGCATCATTTACAGCAGGAAATTCTACACAGTCTGATCCTAACAAAAACACAAAACAAAAAAAAGTCCCCATGGGTTTGAAATCAAAACATTTTCTATTTACAAGGTCATGCTTTTCTGAACAGAGCAATGTCAGAATAACTCTGGGGATGTTTCCTCCATCCTTCAACTCAATCAATAATCCACGATGTTTAAGTCAAGCACTTACAAATCAATGTAACTGCATCCAGACAGGCGTCCAGGGACTCAAACATCTTTAGTCTGTGGACAGTGAAATGTGTGTGGAGAGGTTTGACGTCCTTCTTTTTGCTCATATTAGACTAGCTGGTTTGACTAAAAGATGAAAGTGTTCGTCTTCAGCACAGATTGATGGGGTTTTTTATTTCTGATTTTAACATGGTGGAAAGCCACCTTGAGAAACGGTTCAACATTCAAAGAAGTCGAGGAGGTAAAACCTGCCCAGGTTCTGGATAATTCAGTCAAAGAAAGTTGTAGGTACATGAATCTGGAGCAGAACCGATAAACAGAACATCCAAAGTCACTTGTGCTTTAATCCAAGGTCTTGTTTTTGACCTGACCAGCGACTCAACGTTTACTTGGCCATATTTGAGTTGTGTTTCTGCATGTGTGGGGTCAAATGTTGAAAAACCATTTGGGTTTAAAGAGCTGTCGCCTCGGCTCAGCCTAATTTACCTCGACTTTAGAGCCGAGCTCAGCGACCTTCTCCAGAACTTTAAAAACCCATCTAGAAAGTGTTTGGCCTGAACTCAGTGTCATGAGCAGGAACTGTTACATCACCTTCACCTCACCAGCCCACCTCAGGTCCCTCCGCCCCCTGCTTCAGATGCTCGTCTGCAGCTCACTGTTGAGCAACGCGGTGTTGTGAGTCTCCAGGTTGGCGCTGCTGATGATGGCGTCGTTCACCATCATCCTGCTCCTGTCCGCTCTGCTGTCACTGCGCTCAATCTCGTCCAGGCCCGCCACCTTCTTCAGGCAGAGAACATTCTGAAAGCTCTTTTTGAAGTTTTCTGACAGGAAGGCGTACAGGATGGGGTTAGCGCAGCTGTTAGCGTAGCCCAGGACCACCACAAAGTCAAAGGTGCTCTTGATGGCAGAGGTGGGGTGGATGAAGCTGGTGACCGAGGTGACGTTGAAGATGTAGAACGGGAGCCAGCAGAGCACGAACACGGCCACCACGATGGACACCATCCGGGTCACCTTCCGTTCAGACCGCTTGCGTTTGGTGGAGCCCACTCTCATGCCAGAGGACTTCACCTGTCAAAGAACGAACCGTCAGTGGCTTTGAAGCATCTCAACATTTCAACATTCTACCTTTCAGTTAGTCTTCATGTTTTAGAGTAGCAAAAATATGTGGAATATCCATGAGCCAATCATAGCAGAGAGTCAAAATTACCATGGCAATTTTGGTCTTTTTTGGGATTTTTTTGGTTCTGTATTTTAGCTCATTTAGCTATTAATAGGTTCATTTTCCTTGGCATTTTTACCCTGTATTTTTCATTTTTATCTACAATTTGATTTTATTTTCTTCTAGCTATTTTATGACAGAGCATGTTTGTGGACCTTTTATGCTCATTGTGACTAGTTAGTATACTATATATTTTTGTATCCTATATATTTATAATATATAATGTATATCATGAGTGCATCTGTTGTTATCTCAAAATCCTGACACAAACCAGTTATTTGTGTAGCCCTGAAGAGCCCATACCCTGAAAATACAGAAAATATCGAGTTGACCATTTGGTTTGCGCTGCAGTACCTAAGACTGAACTTAGAGGTCAATATAGATGCACAGCTGCACTAGTAATATGCAGTAGCTGCAGAAAGAGAAACATCTCACCTTGACTATAATGAGCAGGTAACACATACAGATGACCACCAGGGGCAGAAAGAACCCAACGCTGAAGGTGTAGAAGATGAAGGCTTTGTAGTAGACATCCTGCGGTTCGGGCCACAAAATGCCACACACCGGCACCTTGTTCAGGCCGCTGAAGATCATAGTGGGCAGGATGACTAACAGCGACACACCCCAGACCATCAGGTTAATTAACTTGGCAACACGGGGCTTTCGCCACTTGGTGGATTTAATAGGGTGGACCACCGCCAGGTAGCGATCGATGCTCATGAGCATCAGACAGAAGATGCTGGTGAACTGATTGAGAGAGTCTGGTAGAGGGGTGAGGAGGACAGGGGAGAGGAGGACAGGGGAGAGGAGGACAGGGGAGAGGAGGAGAAACAAAGTGAGTCAAGGCTACGTAGCAGCTAAGCTTCATGAAGCAGCAGGAGGTGATTACAGTGAAATAATGCCACGTCAGCGGCTCTTGTTTCTTCTCTAACCAGATGAGTTAAGTTGTGTTTTTAAGATTAACCCCTGAGTATAATTACTGTTTCAGCAAAAAGAATGTGACTTGTCATTACTGAAAACCTCGTCAGTGGACTGTTCTGAGGGACATATTTAACAGTCACTTGTACCTTTCCTTCCTTTTTATTTTCGATTTATAAAAAACACAGGACGTGATTATAGACTGTCTGTTGTGCCCATATATGGTATCGCCCTGAGGGTTATTTTGATTTGCGCCATTCAGATTATGACATTTGTTAGGACTTTTTTTTTCAAATCAATCAATTATAATTGGACGAGGACTGTGCTTTTGTAGAGAGGTATCAACAGGTAGCATCCAAAAATGCTGTGAAAAAGTTGTTGTTTTTGTAGAAATCTGATATTGAAAACACAAAATCTTTAAATTCTTTTGAGGTGTATGTGTCTGAGGAGCAGGTCCTATTAGCTAGCTTGTTATTGGCTAACTAGCTGTCTGTCTTACTGTCTTTATCTGGGATTTAAGTCTAGGATGAAATTATTGCGCCCTCTTCTGGGTAATTGAACATGTGTTGGTCATGGCGTCAGTATTTAACTACAGTATCAGTTGAGACAATCACAGTGCAACAGGCAGAGTATGTTGTAGTGTGACGCTGTTGGCTGCTGCAGATTTTCTGTTCTCACTCAAACGCTGACACCCTCTGTGTCACAGGAGAATTACACCTGTGACCACACAAAAGGAAAGGTGTTGAGAAAGGGTTTTGTCATGTCTCATCCTGTCTCCTGGCTTGTCCAGGTCAACGTCCAGGAGCACCAGCTTCACCAGTCAGAGTCATCTGTTAGTGGTAGTGTGGTAGTGTGGAGTCTCATCTAGTTTTCTCTTATAATTAATTTGCATTTAAAATAAAAGGGTTTTTCCTTCAAATAAATGATTCATCAGGCCATGATTTTCCAGGACGATTTCTCCCTGTAGGAGCCGTGAACACTGTGTGTGTGCTCAGTGAAACAGCTGCCACTGCCTGATCTGCACCCACCTACGGTCATGATCACTCTGCACAGGGCCTCCCCGAACGGCCAGCGCACCAGCGCCAGCTGCAGGGCGACGAAGGGCAGGCTCATCATGCACAGAACGTCGGCCACTGCCAGGTTGAGGATGTAGATGTTGGTGACTGTCTTCATCTTGGCGTAGCGCAGGATGACGTAGATGACCAGCGTGTTGCCACAGAGCCCCACGGCGCACACCATGAAGTAGATGAAAGTGATGACCACTGAGCTGGTCCTGTCCTGGTGGGGCTCCCTGGTACCAGAGATGTTCAGGTCCAGGTCGGACTCGTTCCCCGGCAGGAAGCTGTCGTACAGGAGCGGCTCTGGGATAGAGGTGTTTGGGGGAGTGGAGAGAAAGGGCCATGGGTCCAGAGCCATGGTTCCAAAAGGGTTTCTGGGTAATCAGAGAGTTCTACTTGAAACTATTCAGGAGTTCGGTGTAAAGACGTGTTCATAGAGGAGGTGCAGGGTGGATGGATGGATCTGGAGAACTGATGTGGATTTAGGACTTGGTGGTCTTTGGGATCCAGTTTTGGGGACAACTGAGGTCAGAAAAATCAGTTCTCGGATGAAGCACAGATCTATGGGGAAAAAACAAACCAGAAGAACGGTTTACTTTGATAAATATAGAACATATACTGTACCTAGACTTAGACAGGCAGCAATAGTTCTTTAAGATCCATGGCAACAGTTAGAGGATTACCTCATGTTACAGCCATTAGTCACACTAACTTTCTCTGAAGAACCACCTCGATGCTTCTTGCACTCTTGTACTTGTTCCTTCATTAGAGTTTTTTGTGTAATACATTCAGTTCAAAGGTCAGACAGGAAGAAGGATAAGGCTCAAAAGACCAGATCTGCTACAGCAGTGTGACTGTTTCACACTTGGTCTTTATTTACTGATTTCTAGCCTTCTCTGTATCAGGTGACGGCAGTCGGCTTTTTGAGACGGTTTTTAGTGTCGTCTGGCTGCCAGCTAGTGGAAGAATATGTGATTGTTCTGCCTGTCACTGTCACCTAAACAAATGAAGACAAATTAGTTGCAGTAAATAAATAATCGTTTTCAGACTAAGTTTAGAGAGGTTGGCTCCTTTTCCCCAGTCTGAGTAGTGTACGCAGGTGGTCCCTGAACCACCTCCCATTTCACAACACGCTCCAACACACACAGCATTCATGTCATGACACTGACATTCATTGACTTTGAACCATTTGATGGTTTGGAGTTGCACAAAAACATGCCGGCTGAGGGGGGACTGGGGCAAAACTCACTACAGTGTTGACACAGGAGCTGGATTTGCGTAGAATGAATTGGATTTGCGTAGATTTTGAGATTTGATGGTCTTTTAAGGTCAGAAAATCCAAAAAACAGTCAAGCTGACAATTTCAGCATTAAAATAAAAGGGCTGATGCGTCCACTATGTCAAACAAGTTTAGACCAGACAATTATCACCATCAGAAATTGAGCCCTAAACTCTCACTGAGCCCAGTCAACTTCAAAACCAAACAATACTGTATGCAATATATTTCTATAATAATCATTTTCCACTAAGTAATATTTAGGAACCACAAAATGCTAAAATGAAGAAGAAAAATAATTACATCTGTAATTGTATTTATTTGTATTCAATTAATTCAATACTCATTGAATCCATCATTTCACCAGACTGTTGAGATCACATCCAGAAGCAACAACAACCCAACCAACATCTTCACTCCCTTATGCAATATATTTTTAGAAAACAGTGATGTTATGTTGTGTTGTTGTTACATGTAGCGAGCAAACAAATAAAACTAGTTCAAAGGGGAGTTTTATAGAAATCCAAAGGGTTATCTTCAACGTTACCTGACACTCAGTGACAGTCAGTGATCAGAGGATGTACAACATCCAGCACTCTCTGCAGACACCGACAGTACACTGATTGGACCAGTCCGTCTGAAGTCATTGATGGTTTTTTTGTGGTCTATTCAGAGACATCGTATTTTGTTTGCATCAAAGCAGAACGGCCTGAGACAAAAAAATCCTGCATTTTGGCCTTGGCATTTGTGTCATGATCATGTGTCATGTTTTTTAAGGCACTGGAGTAGGAGAGTAGACTTGGTCAGATATTGTATTTTGGCCAAAACATGACTGAGGTAGTTCTACTGTGAGGCCAAATATATTGGTACCGATGCAAACGGACTTGGAATCACATATTCCTGACACCCTTTCTTCATTTCTTGTGTTTGGAAACAGCTGCTACAACAGGCTGTCCCTCAGGGTCATGTGATCTTTGCTGTGTGTTTTTTCCTAATAATACAAAGAACAATAATGAATATTTTAAAAAATATTAGTAGAAAAATCAGCCAAGAAGAAGCCGTTCATATCATAGGATTGTTCCTTTAGGTCCACAGTACTGTAAATGTACCTAAATACACTTACTGAAAGAAATCCCCAGCCTCCATCCCGGTGGTAATCTGCCCTTTTCAACAGGGGCATCTTTTGCCCACCTGTTCCTCCATAATGCCAGTGCTGACAGCTACCAGAGTATCCGTGCAATTTAGGAAATACGCAGTATACACGCAGTATCAACCAAAAATAGTACTACATAAAATGCAACTTTATTCAAACTAAAAACATATGACATGATTTAAGCACAGGGCGCACTTGCAAGGTATTATTCAAAGCCTTAAAAACCATTCATTCTAAATGGATTAATTTTACTCACCATTTAAAAAGAAAAACCTTTACCCTCCTCTCAGGTTGACGCTCTTTTGAGCCAATCTTTCGGCAGAGATCAGTTTGTCCGGCCGCTGCGCAGCGGAGCTGCTGGGAAGCTGCGTCCCTCCAGCCTCTCCTCGTCTCCTCTCCTCTTCATCTCCTCCTCTTCTCTCCATCCACCTGCTCTGGTTGCGCACGGCGCTGGAGATCAGCCGCCCACAGCAGAGCCGCTGATTAATGCATTAACACATGCTCTCAGGTCATTTTCCAGAAGAAAAATCTCCAGTGGAATATTCCGAGTGTGGGAGCGGAAAAAAAGTTGTGCAGGAATCACCAGAGAGACAACGTGAAGAAAGTGTGATGCGCTCGTTTAACTGCAAGAGGAGTCCAGCAGCGCGATGTACCACAGTACAGGAGGGAGAGAGAGGGAGAGAGAGAGAGAGAGAGAGAGAAAGAGGGAGAAAGGGGGAGTTAAAATGCATGCGTCGTGTTCCAGCTTGGATTTGAACTCAGCCCTGTAACTTCCGTCTGTTTTAATCAAATCCTTCTCGATTTGTCTCCACACTTAACCTGCACTTTTACCAAAAATGACCTGGAGGTATGGTCCAGAACACACACACACACACACACACACTCTCTCTCTCTCTCATACATCCCTCTTCATCTCTTTACAGAATAATAGATGGGTCGGAGTGCTCTCTCAGACAAGAGCTGCGTGAGAAACCCTCTGATGTCACTGATATTAATACCAACTGTTGATGAATTAAGCCGGGGTTTGGACCCGAAGGACAGAAGGGTTCTCACTGGAGGAAGAACGATAAGGACGGATCATATCTCTGAGCAAAAACCCCCGACTCAGGAGGGTTGGTGTCACTGTTTGCTGGTCAGGGGTCAGTGAGTTCTTGACGATCTGTTTGTCTAGAGGTCCAGTGTGCAGGCCTTCACAGAGGTTTCACAACAGAGAGCCTCCGTTCATCATGGGTTTGAGTTTTCTAACAAACTAAACAACAAAGAGCTGCTGAGCTTTTCTGACGTCACATGAAACAATCGTACAAAATAAATATTGTCACATACAGGTGAACAAACTGGTGCCGAGGTAAGACGAGGGAGCTTTATTTGAAGATAAGTCAGTGTGCTTTACACGACAGCAGTGCTTCAGGTGGGCTGAGGGAAATGAGCCAGGTACTTTGCCCTCAGGAAGCAGACACATACAGTCCACCCCAGGAGGAGCCCAAGGCTTTTTGGGTTTTTTTTTGGCTTAAAGTGAAAACCTCGGCCTCTCAGACTGACTCGTCCATTCAGCAATTTGTCAAAACTCCAGGGATTTTAAAGTTAGTCTTTAAGGTGTACCTTAACGGACAGTGGAGGTCAGCCAAGGTCCGTTTTCATCCATTCATCTATCTATCCAACCAACCATCCATCCATCCAACCATCTGACATCCATCCATCCTTTTTACATCCTCTAAAAGCAGCTGGTTCAGGATTTGCCCCGACAACTCTTTTCAGTCAAATGAGTATTGTCTCTGCTCTGTCCTGCCTCACCCAAACTCAGAGACTTTCAACATTCTGGCGTTCTTCACAGACGTGTGCAGAGACGTCACAGCTGAATGTAACAGAGCTCTTTTCAATAAACTGTCACTTTCCCAAATTGATTCCACCGCTCGCTGCCGCCTGTGAAGTTTACTGCTGATAGGTGATGGAGGAAATGGTAATCAGTCGATACTGGAACTTTATTGAACACTTCACCTTAAAGCACAATTTCCTCAGGGTTCATTCATGTTTCAAACACGATGTGTTTATGTTTTGAATTACCGCTTCATCAACCCACGACTTTTCCTCACTCGGCCTTCAACTCTGACTAAATCTGAGTCAACACCGAGACCAAACTGGAGGGTAAAGGTCCGAGTGTGATAACAAATCAAAGAGAGGGATCAGACACTTTCTCACATGCACCGTGTTTATACAGCAGCACGCTCCAAACTGGAGCCATGTCCACAGGGGCATTTGAAGGGACTCTCAGGGTTTGTATCGACCCAACAGTTCCAGGGGGCGACTGTAGTTCAGTGGGTTGAGGTTTCAACCTTTGACCACAGCGATCAAGGTGAGGAAACTGTGTGACCAATGAGGAAAAAGGCAAAGCTTCCAGTTGACAGTTAAATGTGATTGGTTACTGGCTGCAGCTACGTTATCCAACAGTCTGAGCAGGACTCATGTCCCCATGGACGGTACGGATGGGGTCGAGTGGTAAAAGAATACCACTTCTTCCTGTGGACCATCAGAGGTTTGATTTCCATCCTGGTTATAATGGGTTGAAGAATCCCCTTGCTCAACAGCGCCCACTGCTCCACATACAGGTTGAATACAGAGGAGTGTATATGTGCCTTACTGTATGTCACATATATGATGACCACTAAAAACGTTAACTACTTTAAGTTAACGGTGACCAAAGGTTGGCTCCTGTTGGTTGATCCAGCTGTCAGTCACACGTGGTGACCAATCACATGCAGACTGTAAACTCTACTCTGTCGCTTTGGTCCGGACGCAATTGGAATTGAAAATGACAATGAAATGAATCAAGGGAGAATTTATATTGACCAGTACCAGTACCAGTACCAGTACCAGTACCAGTACCAGTACTGGGAGTGAGTCTGATACTTCATTCAAATACTTTTAATTCAAAACAGAAGCATCTTTTAATGGCTGTAAACATTTTCCTGCTGGGTGTCCTCAGTATGGTCCTGTGGAAACTCGGCATGGAACAGCCTGTGTGTGTGTGTGTGTGTGTGTGTGTGTGTGTGTGTGTGTCAGTGGTCAATTTTTGTCCATTTGAGTTCGGATTTTTGATCTGTGCCAACTCTGAGACAAGCAGCGACCAGGGAGAGCAGCAGCAGATCTCAGCATCCAAATATCCTCCGATGCTCTGCTGCACAGATACTGTCACGTACTGTGACAGACGCCTCCTCTGCCTCCTCAGCCAGTTTCTCACACGGTTCACAGTCTCTTCTCCAACGTGACTGGGATGATTCTGTGCTGATGCAGAAAGAAGAGTCAGATTCTTCCCACCAGGGTAGAGTTAGCATTCATCCTTGCGAGGTTGAAGGTCCTCTTTATCAGTCTGACTCCTGGTGCCCCTGCAGCCATGCAGCAAATATGACCACACACCCCCGTGGTCCAGAGAGTGAGTGTGGACCTGCCTCACATCAACAGGATCAAACAGCATGGACAACAACACAGTGACAGGTCCTCAAGTCCACAGAGCTTCAAAAATGTTGTTGTTTTTTTTTTCTTTCACCTGAGTGTCTCCTGCTGTTCACTGTGACAGCCCTGTCCTCAGAAGACAATTTCAGCCGACGTGAGAGCGTCCCTGTTGCTGGCCCTGAAGAGAAAAGAAAAGCATTTTCTCCTCTGCCAAGCAGGAAAAGCTATTTCCTGTCCATTTGCAACCTCACATGAATCTTTAATCCATCTGAATATTTCAATGGACTGGAGTCGTCAGGTGACACAACAGGCTGAGGCCTGAACTTTGGATGACACGGACAGAAGAGTTATCAGAACCACAATCAGAATATCTTTATTGAGAATTTGATAATAATATTTAAACTAAGAAACAGAACAAAAATCTGCAGCATCTTTAAAACCTGTTCATGACAAATGTTGTTTTGAGAGGGAGTTTTTTTAACGTGTCGATGCCGTATGTTTTTTGCTGCATTCATCCCCTTATTTAAACTGTTATTTATTGTACCACCTGACAGTACCCCCCCCCCACATCCCCA